TTCCAGTGAGTGTCATCTCCTCGTTTCGTTTAAAGTTAATTTGAAGTTTTAAAGGCTCACAAGAGACGACTGACAAAGAATCGCAAAGCCGTATCTTGAGTTAAGCGACGGAACAGTTCTCAGTCATCATTTATATAATTTGCTTGTTGAATCGTGTCACTCACGAGCAACACAATTTTTTTCTTTGAGCTGTGAACAGATAAGAGGCTAGAGCCTTTTATTTGGGAATCACATCGACACAAGTCAAAATAAAACTTGAATTTTTAGAGCATCACCCAAACGTAGGGAGAATGGTGCACTTTGCTGAGTTCAGCGAAGTGAGAGCCAACAATTCTAGTTTCAATCCAAATTTACAATGTTTTCTCGTTTATTTTTAAAGTAAATTACAATCATTACCAAAGATCTAATGGCCATTTTCTCAGAATTTAATGATCATTAATGCAAATCTAGTTTTCAAACTGAGGATTCTCGTCTGGTAAGACTCAAGAGTCCAAGCCGGCAATCCACAGGAAAAAAGTGTTAGTTCGCAGCTCGACTATCTTTACTGAAGTTTGTTCACTGTCAATGGGTGTGATCGATGGCTAATGAAAGAATATTATTCTGAGAAACTGAGGCGTTTGACCAAAGTTCCAAAACTCAGAGAGAAACAAAGAAAATTGAGACATTGTCAGTCTTGTGCAGAGTAACTGGAGGATAAGCCTCCAGAGACTTATTTATTGTAGATAGGAACTCTTTCCCAAGGAAACTGAAAGCATGACGAAGAACTCTTGCTTCAGTTCACATAGTGATTGTGCAGCCCTCGTGCGAAGAAAGATTTAGATATTTTGGTAGAGTTGAGAAGCATTTCCTTTTTTTGTCATCCATTATCCGTGTTTTTAGGAGGCTCGATTGTGCAACAAACAAAAGTGTAACTGTGGTGAAGAGTATTACTAGTTAAGTTTTGAAAAGCATCCATATGTTTCGTTGGATTATCCTTAATCATGTTATCATGTTTTAGGTTCTGTGTCCTAGAAAATATTCAAAGCTTAGAAAAGGCATTTACGAAGAGCTATATCCTCTTCTGTTGAGGAACAGCTGCAGCAAGAGCAAATGGGGTCTTAAGAAAGAAAAACGTTTGCAATAGGAGCAAATCTAAATAAGCTTACGTTTTCTTTATAAGTTTTAATAATTTTGCAGGGGCACACAATAACCAAATTTTTTCTTTAAGTTAATTAGAGAAAGCGTTTGGTGTTATGCAGGCCATCATGAGTTGAAAAGGTAAATATTGTTGTTATTGATCGAAGCGAACTGAGTTGTTTATCGATAAGAACTCTGTCTGAAGCACAATAATCGTTTGTCTCCTGCAATGAAGACACTCGCTGTGAAGATATTGATGATAATAATTGCTTTATAAACGAATAAAAGGCAATTTTTTTTACAGCAATAACATAGTTATTTTCAAGTCTATCACTGATATCTACACAATAAGCTTATGAGTGTGCCATTTAACTCAATAATCTATTGAAACCCACTTTATCTGAAATACATGATTC